GGCGAGCAGAAGCTGCTCACAGTGGATCTGGAGCGGTTCGCCGAACTGTTCGTGTTTTGCACCCGAGGCACAGTCGACGAAAAGGTGAAAGTCCTCCTCACCTCACTAGGCAAGTCTGAGGACGAGTCGGAGGACATCCCGTACAACTTGGTGAAGGAAGTGAGTTGTTTCGCTTCCACTCAAGACCCCATTGGGTTGAAGCCGTCAGGCCTTGTTTCAGTATGTGGAAAGCATTGTGAGCTCTTACATGAAGATACAGAGAGTGAGCAATTCGAAGCAATACAAAAGCTGGTCGAGCCGGGGGTGCACCGCGCACACGCAAAACTCCCAAAGGCTGGCCGAGAGTCTCACTAAGGACTTGTGCGGTGAGTTTCCATCTGTCGGAGTGTTGCGAGTTTCAACGCCATTATTCTAGGCGAAAGCCCCCTTTCAAGGAAACTGCTAGAGTCTTGGCTGCAAGGCAGCACCATTCTGGGGCAGCTGCTTCTCTTTGTTTTCATGCATCTGTACAACATCTCCCACAAGGTAACACACCTATAGCTCACGGAACCTTTGCGAAGCAAGAAACTCTTGATCCATCTAGGACAAAGCCGCATCGATAATCAGTCAAGAAGGGGATCAGGGCAGCGGGGAGAGCAACGACGGGGTGAGAGAGCGCTCATTGGTTCCATTCTGTAGAGGCCTGGACCTCATCCCGTCCTACCCGAGCATTTTGGACCTGAACCAGATCGTGTTTATCAACGCCAACCTGCCTCAACAGTACCAGCTGGAGTGGCGGTTTCTGTTCAGTTCCGAAATCCATGGAGAATCGTTTTCCACCTTAATCGGTAAAATATTTAGCCTGAACTTACAATGTTGATTGAGGGCTTGTGGACGTAGGGCGCATAGTGAATCAGGGCCCTTCAGTGCTAGTGCTAGAGGATCGCAGTGGCTACGTTTTTGGGGGCTTCGCCCCTGCCAACTGGGCACTGGGGCCCAATTTCTTCGGCGACGACAGCAGCTTCTTGTTCACGCTGTCGCCCCGGATGCGAGTCTACATGTCTACCGGCTACAACCAGCACTTCCAGTACCTCAACTTGCATCAGCAAACCTTGCCCAATGGCTTGGTAAGTTCTCAGCAAGTTTCAGACCGCTCTAATGGCTCTTTTATAGGCCATGGGCGGCCAGCACATGTTCTGCGGCTTGTGGGTTGACGCACGGTATGGGGAAGGCCACTCGAGCGAGTCCTGCACGACTTATGCAGCCTACCAACAGCTCTCCTGCTCTAAGGAGTTCAAGTTCAGGCACATGGAAGTGTGGGGATTGGGGCAGCCGCCCCCAACCCCGCAGGAGAAAGGGGAGCGTGTAACCGGAAAGGTACTAACCTAAAGGGGCCTAAGCCAGTCGGTGGGTATTAATGTGGATGTTACAGGGCGGAAGCGTGTTGGACGGTAACGCCGAAAGCAAAGCAATGCTGAAGATGGCGGGCAAGACAATGCACAGTGATGGGCTGCGAGAGCCCCCCAACACGTAGGGAGGCCCACCTTTCGCAAAGAGATGGAAACTACGTACCACTTGGTAACTGCAAATTCCCGACACGACCAGGTCCCCTACCACTGTGACCCATTTCAACCAATACTCTCCAGTTGGGGCCCACTGCACTACACTACACTTTCAGCATAGAACAAGACTTAACTAATTGCATATAACAAGACTTGTAATGACTAATCAGGACTAATGTCTTTATTTATGTAACTGACTTTCAGTTCAAGTTTTCAAATGTTCGGCGGTAATGTGGCAACGCCGCTGGAGGCCTGCAAGATTTCAAAAAAGTTTTGTGAGTGCGAGAATTCTGTTTTCAACTATAAAGTTACTGTGGACCTTTGTAACCCCCGAAATTTTTCTACCTGCATTGTTGTCTTCTTTTACATCTTGCATCATTCTTAATTATTGGACGTTTCATAAAGGAACGCGCCGAAAGTGATTGTTAATAAATCCGCTATTCATTTGATAATTGTGTTGGATTCTGAAATTTCCTCCCACTGTTAAACCAAAAGTTTGACTTCAAAACTCCATTGCATTATTATTAACTTTGATTATAAAGCTTTGGGAATGCGCGAACGTTGCCAAATGGTCAATTCCCCCCACCAGATTTCAAATGTCATTCATTTCAAAAACGTCAAGGCAAAATGTTCCCGCGCTTAATTTATAGGTTATTAGGGTCTTGTGTCAGTTAAGCCACAATCATTTTGTTATTCAGTTCCAGTAAGCATTCCGATCAGTTTTGTTGATTTTTTTCGCGAGCTGTTTATACTTGGACCGTGTCAACATACCTTTGAAACACTATGTCGGAAGACGTTTCATGTCAGTCTCCGCAGAACCGTGTGTTGAATTATTCGATTGTCAGTAGCGATGAGGAGGAAAACCGTCTGGTTTTAAAGCTGAAAGTTTCTGAAAGACACAAAGTGCCCGTGGTCGTGCTGCAGAGACTAGAGAACGTTGGTCAGTATCAGGTGAGCCTGAGAACTTCCAGGAGGCAACGTAAAGTGAAACAGTTTGAGGAGTACGAACTTGACATGGCTGCGGTCACAAACGTGAATACTGTGAGCCCTAGAAAGCGACTGAGGCCCAGAAAGCCCGAGTCTGAAATGGGCAGTCCGCCAAAAGTGCGACGCTCCCTTCGGACATCCAAGAAAATTGGTAAGTTCTGTAATTAAGTTTAGGGAAAATATGGGATATTAAAACCCTGGTCCAGTAAGGATATCCTGAAGAAAATAACCGAAAAACAGTTAGTGAAATTGCTGTGTTTTGTTAGGCATTTGATTAATCGAACTTTTCCAAACAATGACTAAGCCAGATTATCAGAACGAAAGAAACATCTGGCTAACATCATTAAAACATGAGTCAATTTAGGCCATCTTTTCTGTCCTTCGCCCTTTATCGAAAATCGTTCTGCCCCTGAGTGAGGTAGCATTAATTTATCGGTAGATCGTTAAGGAACTGATTAGAGGCCACTTAATCTTCAGAGATTAACAAAATTGCCCAATAAATAAATCATTAGTAGTCACCGCTTTAAGTACCCAACATAGAAGAAATAAAACAAACTCATTTTTTACGAGGAAATAAGCCTATTTTAGCACCCAGAAAGAAAACCATGAGTTTCTTTAGAGCTGCAGATTTTTTGACTAACTTTCCAGCTCCCAATGAGTCCTCATTTGCTTTCGCAGGCAATCTGAAATAAACCGGTTTTTCTTGCAGTGAACTTGGACTTCTACATGGATGAGCTATGTGAATCGATAACAGATTCCGTCTCTCTGAAAACCCCCGTTAAAAAATCGACTAGACCAACTCGACAAGCTCGACCACAAAGTCCGATGGATGTCGATGAGAACGATGTGGTTCTTTCTGGAAAAAGAGTATCGCGCACCCCTCAAAGATACTCCAATGCTACGCCGCGATCGGTGCGAGTAAACTTGGACGAATCATTTCGCAGAAGCGTGCTGAAAAGCAGACATATGAGCGAAAATGTGCGCAACACACCGAGGAGAACAGCCAGAACTCCCGCAAAAAAGTCCCACGTACAGAAGCTGTTTTCAGAGGATGAGGAAATTGAGGTGGTGAATAGTCCCAAGAGAAACTTGCGGGCTAAAAGCAACTCGATATCTTCGGACCAGTCGAGTGAGAGCGATGAAAGCCTCTCCAACACAACTCCTAAAAAAACTGGCAGGACGCCGGGAAATCGCAAGCAGAGTGGCTCGACTCCAAAAAGCGTCCAGAAAACCCCGAGCACCAGCAAAGGACGCCTGAAGATGTTGAGGGATGGCACAATAACACCGTCAATGCAGCCAAGAAAGAGCTGCATCCCAGAATGCACCACGCCCTTGATGAAAGCCAGAACTCAGCTACACGTTTCGTATGTGCCGGCGTCGCTGCCTTGCAGGGAAAAGGAATACTTGGACGTTTACAAATTCCTCAGAGGGAAAATTGACGACGGATGTGGAGGGTACGAAGCTTTAGAAGCCATTTAAATGCGAACAGTTTAACGAATTTTGATCCTTCCAGATGCATGTACATTTCGGGGGTGCCTGGCACTGGCAAGACCGCAACAGTCACCTCAGTAATCGACAGCCTGAGCAAAGATAAAACCGTAGGAAAATTCAGTTTTGTGAGCATTAATGGGATGCGGCTGACCGAACCCAAACAGTCCTATGTAGAGGTAGCAATGAATTTCCCTAACTGATTGCCCCCGCTTCTCAACTGAAGACTTTTGTTCCAGATTTGGAAACAGTTGACGGGAAAAACCGTCGCTTGGGCGCAGGCCTGCAGCTTACTGGAAGAGAGATTTACCAAAGTAAAAAAGCTGCACCCAGTTGTGATGTTAGTTGATGAGGTGAGTGTGGATCAGGCGAGTATCTGGGGATTTCAGGACTCTTGAATCTGTTTTAGTTGGACATCCTTTGCACGAAGCGACAAGACGTCGTCTACAACCTACTGGACTGGCCGACGAAATCCAAAGATCCGCTCATCGTCATCACCATCGCCAACACAATGGATTTACCCGAAAGGTGAGATCAACCCAAAAAAAATCAACCCAAAAAAACCATAACAATTGATTTCCTGCTTCAGATTGCTGATGAGTAGAGTCACTAGCCGACTGGGCCTAACTCGACTGACCTTCCAGGCCTACACTCACAAACAGCTAATGGAAATCGTAACGAGAAGACTGACAGGGACTGATAGTTTTGATCGGGATGCCATCCAGCTGGTGGCCCGCAAAGTGGCTTCGGTGTCTGGCGACGCCCGCCGTGCTTTGGATATTTGCAGACGAGCCGCCGAAATCGCGGAACGCGACGGCAACGAGCAACAAGTCAGCATTCAGCAGATCAACGATGCTCTAACGGCTATGATCACTCAGCCTCAAGTGACTGCCATAAAAAGATCGTCGCGACTGCAAAAGTTGCTCCTCCAAGCCATCGTTGCGGAGGTAAACATTCTGGATTTTTCACCGATTGTCCGATGATGGCATGTAACGGGATTTCAGGTTGAAAGAACCGGCGTCGAGGAAACGACATTCGTGGACGTGTTCAAGGTGTTGGCGTCCTGCTGTGCATTGGATGGCTTCAAAATGGTATCAAGCACGATTGCACAGCGCGCCCTTTCCCGATTAGGCGAGTGCAAGCTCGTTATTACCGACCAAAAGTGCAACAACATTTATCAGCGGATCATACTGAACGTTAGTGTGCACGACGTGTATTTTGCCCTGAAGAAGCAATGAGCGGTGGTTGGACTTTTCTTGTTTCTTGGTTCCAGTATGAATTTATTCCTCACTTAAAACCGTAGTTCTTTCACTTATTCATAAGTGCATTTCTGAGGCAAAAGTGGCTTTTATTAATTTCATTTTCCAACTTCCGTTGTGCGGAAAATTGCACGACTTTACAAACACAGGCGGAGATCAGACGCACTCAATTGTAAATAATCTAAGCTTAGTGAATTGATCGAATAAAAACCTTTTTCCAGTATTTCTAAAGCAACCAATTGCGCGTTGTGTTTTAGAAATACTGGAAAAAGGTTTTTATTCGATCAATTCACTAAGTTTGGGTTATTTACAATTGGTGCGCCTGATCTCCGTCTGTGTTTGTAAAGTCATGCAATTTCCGTTGTACCGAAAATTCTTCAGACGGAGATCAGACGTACTCAATTGTAAATAATCTAAGCTTAGTGAATTGATCGAATAAAAACATTTTTCCAGTATTTCTAAAGCAACCAATTGCGCGTTGTGTGTTTTAGCTAGACAACGCGAGCGGTTTTGTTCAGATACCGCTTCAAATACAAAATCTGCGCTTGGCTTTCCAGTTTCGTCAAATCCGAAACGATTGGGGCCATTTGGGCGGTGTGGCTTGCGTAGTTCGAGGCCGTTTGTTGCTTTTTCTGCCCATACACGACTTTGCCGTCGAATTCGTCGTGGGGCACTTTCAGATCGGTCCCGATTTGCTGGATGGTCACGTTCAGATGTTCTTCGATTTCGCCCAAGTACTATCATCAACTGCTCTTTTTATGCGCTTAATGGCTGTGGAGAAAGTACTTACCCGAGGCTCATCGTACCAAATGCAACAGCCTTTCGCGTCGGTTAAGAAGGTGTTCCAGCAGTTTCTTCCGTGGCTTTTACACCATGCTCCATGATACCACACCTGAAAAAAACCCAATACATTTTGATCAAAAGAGACAGACTTTCGAGGCCATTCCTTGAAACTAGTGGGTTTTTAGGCCGTCGTACAATAGAATTTATTTCAAAACTA